GTGTTTTCTTTACTCTGCCTGCTTACTGGTTTCTTTACTGTGCTCTACTGTTTCTTTACTGCGCTCTATGTTTCTTACTCAATATACGTGTCTCTTTACTGTGCTCTACTGTGTTTCTTACCTGTGTCTACTGTTTCTTTACTGCGCTCTACTGTCTTTACTCCCGCTTATTTTCTTTACTGCCCCTCGACTGTTCTTTACTGCATCGTACTGGTTCTTACTCCCTCTACTGTGGTTCTCTACCCGCTCTACTGTTTCTTACTGCGCTCTACTGTTTCTTTCTGCCGCTCTACTGTTTCTTACTCAATCTACTCTGTTTCTTTACTGCCTCTACTGTTCTTTACTGCAATCTACGTGTTTCTTACTGTGCCTCTACTGTTCTTTACTCCCTTCTACGTTTCTTTACTGCAATCTACTGATGTTCTTACTGCTGCCCTCTACCTGGTATCTTTACGCAGCTCTACGTCTTTACTCGCTTACTGTTTCTTTTACTGCGCTCTACTGTCTTACTGCCGCTTACTGTTTTCTTTACTGCAACACTTGTTCTTTACTGCGCTTCTACTGTGTTCTTTACTCCGCTACTGTTCTTTACTGTGCCTCTACTTTTCTTACTGCGCTCTACTGTTCTTTTACTGCAATCTACTCTGTTTCTTTGCTACTGCGCGTTTCTATACTGTTTTCTTACTGCTTAATCTACTTTTCTTTTACTGCCGTCTTGCTTGTGTTTCTTTCTGGCCTCATCGCTTTTCACTTTTACTCCCTGCGCCTCTTACTGTTCTCTTCTACTCTCTAACTTCTACTGCTCCTTTCTACTCTATCACTGTGTATCGTTATACTGGCTCTTTACTGTGTTTCTCCTTTACTGGCTTCTACTGTGTTTCTTACTGCGCTTCTATACTTTTTACTGCCCCGCTTCTACTGTTTCTTGACTGCGCTCTACTGTTTCATTTACTGCAATCTACTGTTTTCTTTCTGCGCCTACTGCGTTTTCTTTACTGCGCTTCTACTCGTTTCTTCTACTGGCGCCTCGTACTGCGGTTCTATACTGCAATCATACTGTGTTTCTTTACTCGCTCTACTGTGTTTCTTTACTGCGCTCCTACTGTGTTTCTTTACTGCAATCTACTGTGTTTCTTTACTGACCTCTAACTGTTTTCTTTACTTCCGCTCTACTTTTCTCTTACTACGCTCTACTGTGTTTTATGCGCTCTACTTTCTTCTATGCTCTACTTTTTCTTACTGCCGCTCTACTGTTCTTTACTGCAATCTACTTGTTCTTTACTCGCTCTGCTGGTCTTTACTCGCTCTACTGGTTCTTTTACTGCCTCTACGCGTTTCTATTACTCAATCTACGTTTTCTTTACTGCGGCGTTACTGTGTTTCTTTTACTTCGCACTCTACTTGCTTTACTGCAATCTACTGTGTTTTCTTTACGTGCCATCACTGGTTTCTTTACTGCGACTGCTATCTAGTGTTTCTATTACTCATAATCTTATCTCTGTTCCTTACTGCGCCACGCGTTTCATTCAGAATTCTAAGCAATTCACATATTATTCTTGTGATCAGGTTGGAGCATCTCAGTACAACAAGATGTTTCAGTGTCAGCTTTGTTCCTCTGCTGCCTTGTGGATTCTACTCCTATATGTTCTTATTTTAGATGAGGTGCAAATTAAGTGACCTTTTCATAAAAAAACAAAACTCAATTTTGAAGATAGAAAAACATTCTTATCAATAGCTTAAGATGACGATATAAATAGATAATTTTTATTAAATTTATTGTGAAAACAAAAATACCCAGCCAACTGTACGTATCAAGAAGTTTTAATTAAACTACATTATTTATTGGCCACTTTGTCGGCCGGCACTGGACATAATTCAGGGAGTGCTATTATGTTAATTGTCTAAATCCATAGTTAGAAAGTACCGCCTTGATCATATGTTTATTGTTGTATTTAAAGACCCCGATTGGGGCCAATAAAAACGCAATCAACTACATTTTTTTACCTTTTTTTTAGAGTTTACTCACAAACTACCACCTTACTTTCCCTTCCACACACACACCTCTCTAAACCCTCTCTCCTTTCTCTCTCCCAGGATGCCCTGCTCTGGATTGAATTTTTACACTATTAATATAAATTAATGAAGTTAGAATAAAAATTATTTTCCACCGGAATATCAACCAAGTTTGTTATCATAACTTCTACCACTAAAATATCGTCTGACCTCAGAAAAACCAGGAGAGTCACTACTGTAGAATTAAACTTTCACATCTCTCTCTGAAAGGAAAATCTAAGTCCTGAAGATGAAATATGAGACTAAAGACTCGTTTTAATATTGATGTTTTCACCATGGAATGACCAAATTGGCTGCTGGTCCAGTAGGTGTTGTGAGTGTGTGGTGTGGTGTGTGTGTGTGTGATATTTTGATGACTTTTACATTAACACATCCATTACTCTACATCCATGCTTCAGTCATTAACCTCAGCACCCTCAGCAGCGACAGCGCTCTGGCTCTGCACGAATCAGTTGTGTGTGATTGGGTGTGACAAGACAAGACAGAAGACAACACCACACATACCACACACAACACACAGATGACAGTTTTAACAACGTATCTATATTAATGCCCTTAAGCAATAAACATGACATGACATACTCCTTTACAGTATTCATCCGCTGATGAAATAATCCTAATACAACAAACCTCCGTTTATTTTTATGAGCAGTTGTTTTGTTTACGTTGACTTTCTTATGAGTCCAATAGAATAATGTGTATAAGCTTCATTCGATTGTAACGACAGCTCACCAGGGACGTCTAGATATCGCTGATAGTCCATGGGGGGAAGGGCACGGGCCATGTCCACGTTACGATCTGTGAGACGAACATCGTTGCCGCGGAAACTATGAGATATATCAATAATTCACACACCAGACCAGTGTTGTATACCACATTCATTAGTGGGAAGCCACCGAGCTTATGTTTGTATACCTGAACTGCCGGGGCCAGGTTGTTCTCAGTGAAGAGACTTGGTTTCTTGCGTCACGCAGGTCTCACGGCTTTCGTATCAAAGTCACAGAGTAGACAGAGAGACAGAGAGGAAGACAGAGAAGAGGACAAGAGAAATAAGTAAAAGAATTTGAATCATCTGTCATGAAATTTTAGGATGAGATGATCACAGAGAGAGAAGAGAAGAGAGAGAAGAGAGAGATACAGAAGAGAGAAGACAGAACGACAAGAAGAGAAGAGAATGTATGAGACAGATGATGAGTGAGAACAGTAGAGTTGAGAGAATGACAGATTGAGAGATGGACAGAGGAGATGATGAGAGATTGACGTATGATTGAGATACAGACAGAGAGAGACAGATTAGAAGAGAGGATGAGACAGAGAGTACATGAAGAATTGATGACAGAACAGAGAGAGAGAG